TTTCTGTCATATATATTACTAGAAGATCCCCTTTGAAACAAATCAGCGGTAATTTTCCTAAAAATAGTGATGAATAACTATAAAATTTGCATTCAACCGAATCCCTTGGATTAGAGCATATATTCAGTATAATTGTCTAATGGGCCGTTTACAACCGTGTTTTGTCATTCCATGTGCTATCGATAAGAAAAATTGAATTTCGTTTCTTTTTAAGCAAAGGAGACTGACCACAGTGCACTGTTGGCAAAAATGTTTGGGCTTGGGTGCATCCAGCACAGTAGAACGCTCAGGTTCGCTAAGCAGCCGGGTGGATTTTTTCCACTGGATGTCACCATTCCTTGTCGTTTTACTGAGAGCAAGAAAACACCGCTACCGAAGTGATCGCTTTTTGACGGGTTGTCATTTCTATGAGAAATGTGAAAGAGGAGATATTCAATTCAATTTATTCGACATGGTAGAATAAAATCATGCATGTGTATAACAACGACATGAAAAATAAGGATTGAAAGAAATATTTAGAAGATAGGGGGCATGAATGGAAAGAGGAAATAAACAGAGGAACGTATAAAGTCCCGTTTTTTATGAAATTCCCTCACAAAAAGAACTGTTTTGTTCTTAATAAGTTGTTTTTCCTAGATTAATCGTTCAAGTGATACAGTGCGTGACAGCCAGATATTTGGGTGATATATATGGTGATGTATATGGTGATACATATAGTGATATATATGTTGATGTATATGGTGATATATATGGTGATACATATGGTGATATATATGGTGATACATATGGTGATGTATATGGTGATATATATGGTGATACATATGGTGATATATATGGTGATACATATGGTGATGTATATGGTGATACATATAGTGATATATATGGTGATATATATGTTGATGTATATGGTGATATATATGGTGATACATATGATGATGTATATGTTGATACATATGGTGATATATATAGTGATACATATGGTGATATGTATGGTGATGTATATGGTGATATATATGTTGATACATATGGTGATATATATGTTGATACATATGGTGATGCATATGGTGATACGTATGGTAATATATATGGTGATTCTTGAAATCTTGGATTTTCTTGGTAGTTTGCCATTATTTTTTTAATGATTGCTTCGAGGCTATCAAGAATAATTTGGCTGACTCTGTTGGCCAGGATGAGAAGATTGTGACATATGTAACGACTGATATATTCATTAAGCTTCACCCTTCAATAACTAGTATAGAATATATGATTATTCAGGTATATTCACGTAGCAATTTCTTGATGTGATTATAACATCCTCATTTACCGGATGTTTCAAGTTGTAAACATGTGATAATCCTTTTATCACGACTAAAGGTTACGTACTACAACTCTGTTCTCAAGTCTCAAACTAGGATATGGGTGTTCCTACACGGATTTCTTGGAAAGTAGCCTATTCAAAAAGGCGATACAGGAACCTGTACACGTGGTTTGACTTAAGATTCCGTTTAGATCGTTAGGTGGAGTATGTAACCTGATGACATACGGATACTTTACTGCCTTTGTTTCGCTAGAGTATTTAAATCAGGTATTTCCATAGTTCTGCCTCTTGATGGTAGCACTTGTTTGATCCCAATAAAGAAAGGGAAGAAATAAAGAAGCTCGGGAAGTTCTGGTCAGAGAACGCTGTGTTTCTTTTAATAAGGAATTTTTGCGTTTCAAACTATTGCCTTGCTCAATTTATTTTTCGTTTAACAGTCTTTAACCTGCATTTTGAGCAAACTTTTGGCTTTTTTGTTGGACATAGTTTACTTGAATACCACACAAGCACGCACATAACAAGTGCTGGTATAAATTTTACAAGATCTTTCGAGTTATGCTTTATAAAATATTTTACTTACATTTATTGAATCTTTCCGTCAGAAACTTTTAAAAAATCTCACAAAAAAACCACAAAGATATCAACACAAAGATTTCTTCAGTTGTAACTACTTGCACTTCTAGTGTGTTATCTGCCAGTCAGTCAACACTAAAATGGCGTAACATAAGGGACACTTAACGTTGCAAGTTGTACTATCGTAACGTTAGCCCCCCCCCCCCCAGTGGCACAGCGGTATGTCTGCGGACTTACATCGCTAGAAACCGGGTTTCGATACTCGTGGTGGGCA